ACAAGAGAGATGATTGTTCACAGAATAACCTGTGAACTTTCACCCCTCTGTATGGAAACTTGTTTCAGGGCCAAATCCTTGTAGCTGTCTTCTTGCCCCGGTCAGTGCCAGCCGTACTATTCACAACACTGCTGCTACCGAGGCCTAGGTATGTAAACATTTAAGGAGTTTTTTTAAAAAGTCTTTTAACATCAAGCTAGGTTCTTAAAGAATTCAAGTTCATTTTGGTATACTTGACAGGGTATTTATGTGATTGTCTTCTATATTTACTGTATAAATTTGTTTTCAAAGAGTTACCTTTTTGCTTCATAAGGATTTTCTAAGTAAAATATTTATATTTGCTTTATAGTAGAATGAGGAAGAAAACTTTGGATGACAACAATGTGCTTCTTCAGTGTCCAAACTATTTCTAAGTGATTTCTGGGCTTTATTCATAAACTAGGTACACCTGGGACAATTATTATTGATTGTTTTAACATTGCCTTCTTTTTATTTTGCAAGCTAAGAAGAGATACGAGTGAACCTAAATAGTGGACGAAAACAGGAGTGTTCTAATTTTTTTTTGGAGGGGGCGAGAGGGTTACTATTTAAAAACTGCCATTTATTTGTCTTATTTGACTTTCAAAAATACTGTTAATTTGAAAATCAGAACATACATACTAAAAGTATAGAATAATTAACATTTAATTGCTGTAACTATAACAGATCTAGAAGTAAAATAAGATTCCTCTTTTTAGAAAGTAACCAGTGAGTCTGCAGTCAAGTTCTAACTGTAAAATGGGGACATTTTACTTTTCTTTTTTTTGGATAGGATCAATTCTTAAGAGCAGCCCCAGTAACTGGAGGAATGGGAGCAGTTTTGATGAGAAAAATGGGTTGGAGAGAAGGAGAAGGATTAGGAAAAAACAAAGAAGGAAATAAAGAACCCATCCTAGTTGACTTTAAGACAGACCGAAAAGGTAACAAGTTCTTTTTTGGAATGTTTATTATGCCTCCTTTGCCATTTCAGGTTTCATTATCTTTTTAATTCTTTATGAGAAAATACTTAAAACCATTTTCACATACGACATCTTATGGATGGGGAGATACTAGTTTGAGCTTTAAAAAAGCAGCTTCTGTTATGTTAGTTGCTAAATATGATGGAAATGTGCTTATCTAATTATAAGATTATAAATTTAACTGGAGTTCATGTTTGGGAAATGGAATTTTCGTTTTGTTTTCTCTTGACAGGGACCATGCTTGTCTTTGTTTTTAGAATTCAATTTATTTTTTGTCAGATATTTTACACATTTTTATTATTTCCTGTCAGTGTTTTATCTTCACTTCATAAACCCTCTTTTGCTTGTTCCTTATTTCAATTTCAGTTGAGTGGGGTTAGGGTTGGAGTTGGAGAATAATGGACTAACAATAATGTTATTTTTTCCTATTGCCTTCTATTCAGGCACCTTGGAACTTTTAGCATTGACTGTATTTTCCTACTGTCATCAGATGGGGGTTGGTCTGTATAGTTGTTAAGTACTTAAATATACTCTCATACTTAGTTCCCACAGATAACCAGTTGGAACTATCTTTTAAATAATTTCTTCCCTTGGGAAGTGGAATAATGAAGGTCTGCCAGCTCAATATGATTTCATTGACTTGTTTTAAGCCTAATTTTTCAAAACTGGAAAAAATTTTTTTCGCCCAGGCTGGAGTGCAGTGGCGATCCTTCCACCTCAGCCTCCCGTGTAGCCAGAACTAAAGGCGTGCACTATCACACCAGGCTATTTTTAATTTTATTGTGGAGACAAGGTCTCGCCAAGTTGCCCAGGCTGGTAAACCCACGGGCTCAGGCAATCCACTCGCCTTGGCCTCCCAAAGTGCTGGGATTACAGGATGAGCCACCAAGCCCGACCCAAAAAACTGGAAAATTTAAAACTGGGATTTAATTTCCCATTTTTGTAGTTAAAACAGTAAGCTGAAGTTAAAGTCAACAGTTACATTAAGCTGGGAGTGGTGGTTCATGCCTGTAATCTTAACACTTTGGGAGGCTGAGGCAAGATGTTTGGCTGAGCCCAGCAAGTCTAGGCTGTGGTGGCTGTGAGCATGCCACTGCACTCCAGCCTGGGTGACTGATCAGGAAGCACTCTCCTTGGAACTATGCAGCAAGGCCTGAGTGTAAGTTCTCAGACGACAACACATTTTCTGGGACAGATTTGGAAAAGCTTACGCTAGCATGGAATTAATTAGCACAGGAGTGGTTGAAAACTTTTCTCTCTAATAAACACATATTGGGCACCCTAAATTTGGAAATCCAAAATGCTCCAAAATCCCTAACTTTTTAAGCACTGACATGATGTGCAGAGGAAATCTGATTGGAGCATTTTGGATTTCAGAATTTCAGATTTGGGATGCTCAACTGGTAAGCATAAGGTAAATAGAAAATCTGAAAAAATTTGAAATACTTCTGGTCCCAAGCTTTTTGATAAGGACACTCAACCTGTATATGGAAGGAAAGCATTGTTTGGGGTTAATAATATAGCTAATCTCTTTTGTAGTAAGTCTATGGAGAGGAAGGTTATGTAGAGAGGCTATGTTTACATCTCGTATTTGTTAAGTCTGAAAGTGCTGAGAAAAATTAATCCATTTATCCTTGAAGACAACTGCCTTTTTGATCTTTTAGGTGCCTTAAAATCCTAACCTTTTTTGGTACATACTCTTAACTGAATATTATTTTTAAATAGTTAATCTGTAGAAATCATGTATAATAAATAGCTACTACTTTCTGAGCTTATTAAAGAAATAGACCTGAAGATGTTGATAATTATAATTAGCTGGTATGTAATTTGTACATGAATTTTTTGTGTATGCATTTATATAAAAAATTCTTGTGTTTTGTATACCTTTGCTGTTTATACAATTTCTAATACTAAGGTATATGAATATAAAGTATATATTTACATACTGGAACACAGCAAAAGTTAAGATTGATACAGAAATCTAGTAGGAATCCATTTTTTTTTTGGATGGATTGAGGTTCAGGCTACTACAGAGGGAGTCTTTGTTTTTGTATATTACAATTCAGAATGATGCTTTGAAATTTATTAGTAAATAATGACCTTTTTTTTCTCTTACAGGTCTTGTTGCAGTAGGAGAAAGAGCACAAAAGAGGTCTGGGAACTTTTCTGCTGCAATGAAAGATCTGTCAGGTGAGAGGACATTTTTGAATTTCCTCTTGCTCTCCTCTCACCGTGAATTTATAATTTATTGGAAAAATTGGTGGAAGGAATTTCACACGGCTTATTTATTTTTTTTCCTGCAGGCAAACATCCTGTGTCTGCCTTGATGGAAATCTGTAATAAGAGAAGGTGGCAACCACCTGAATTTCTCTTGGTCCATGATAGTGGCCCTGATCATCGGAAACATTTTCTCTTTAGGGTAAATATGAGTTTTTGCATTAATTGTTATGTATTTATTAACTTGACTTAATGTTAGAGGGTGAGGGATAAACATCACAGGATTAAGATTTGATTTGTGGGTGGGGGTGTGTATGTGTGGTTAAGTGGTGGGGCTTTAAATATTGCAGGGTGTTTTAATATGACTTGATCTCATTTTTTAAAAATTGAAAAAACATGGGCAAAATATAGTGAATAATTTCATATTGTCTAGACGGACATGGGGAATTAATTCATTACTCTTATCAGGCTTTATTGTTTTTAATTTGGAGACTTGCACTTAATTTGCAGTCCCTTTCCCCAAATGATTTGCTTCTTCTGGGTTGCGATTTATTTGACTTACATAGTATGGGTATCATATTTTTATAAGTTATTTTTCTAGCATTTAGTGAAAAATACAAAGCTAATAGATATTAAAGTTTGATGCTGTTCTTATTGTATGTTTTTCTTGAATAGGTATTGAGAAATGGAAGCCCTTACCAGCCCAATTGTATGTTTTTCTTGAATAGGTATTGATAAATGGAAGCGCTTACCAGCCCAGCTTTGCCAGCCCTAATAAGAAGCATGCTAAAGCCACAGCAGCTACTGTGGTTCTTCAAGCAATGGGCCTTGTACCAAAGGACCTCATGGCTAATGCCACTTGCTTCAGGAGTGCCTCACGTAGATAGATTGAGGTTTTATAATAATCATTTCAGATAATTTTACTCTGCATCACAATGTATTTCCTCTTTAATGTTGTAAATATTTGGCAATTTAAGACATTGTGTAAAAAGCAATCTGTACAAACATCTCCAGGCTTTGATTTTTGTACCATGGAAATTGTATTTAACCATACAGGGTTTTGGTATGTTTATATTGTTTACCTTAGTGATGTATTTGTTTAAGTGGCTAACATCCAAACGATTGTTTGAAGGCATCAGTAATCTTCAGTGTGGAATGTTAAATAACGCTTTTATACTGTATTTTGTACTATGATGTAACTCCCCTTCCTTATGGCTAGGCTGCTGTAACACTTGCCTGTAATCAGTGAAGGGCTGTGCACCTTGTACTATTTCACAATGGGTTCTGCTGGACAGATAACTGGGCCAGTGTTATTGAGGTAAATTAAGCAAGATCTGTTCCACAGGGCTAATGCCACCATCTCCCCTAAAATTTTGTAGAGGTTATAAAAGAAAGTGGTATGTTGTGTGATGATCAGCACTAAGTTCTGCAATCCTGTTAAAGCCACTTGGGTCATAAGAAGGGAGTCCAAATGAAGTCTGACTAGAATTATACTGCAGAGGCCAAGTACATTTAGTATGGCATTGAGTTGTGATATAGATTACTTTGATGTGCATTTTGAATTTCAGCTACACCTAGATAGACGTAAAATGATAATTAAAATGCTGTAACCAACTTATCTAATAAAATTGGCAACCAGCCACTATTTTGTTGACTATGAGAAAGTTGAAGTTTATGTTAATTTTTAGGGTCTGATAGAATATTTCATGTGTACTACAGTGGTATTCATATGCTATGTCTTTAAACTTTATTTTCAAAAGCTTAAGGCCCAAATACAAACTTCTCTGGAATAAATGTGGTGTTTTATTTTTTGGATTATAAAGTGAACACATGCTAAAATACTGTTATATCTTTACCCAATTCTTTTGATTTCTAAGTACTTTTATTTAAAAAAATTACACACATACACACACACATACTCCCCTCACACACGCATCTACAGTCACATTAAAAACTACTTTGCCACGACAGCTGAGCATATGCTTCACAACCCTTAACACTATTCTATGTGCAATACAAAATATCCTTTTATCTGAACTAACATGCACTAAAAATTTTTTTAGTATACTTGAGAATAAAGGAATTCTAAATCAGTAGGAAAGATGCTGAGTTCTGTAGAAGCATCAACAAATCAACTCACTAGATAATTACCTACATTTACACATTCTATTGTTATAAAACAGCCTACGAATTAGTCTTAGGTATATGTTAACATTTTTGCCCTGATGCCATTAATCACAGTGCTACAGCTTTGGTCTTAATTTCCCATTTGCAAGGAAACACATTAATTCAGTTTTCTGTTCAGCTTACAATAAGCTTGTAGGGATATATATAGGTTTCTCATTTGAGTTGAGGTTTTTTAAAAGTTTATCTTCACATCTGAAAATAGTAAAAGAAAATGTTGACTTAAAACCTTAATGCTACTGCTCAGTGCATGCAATAAAAGTTAATATAAAAACTTAATGTTTATAAACATTTTAGCATTTTAAAGTATATTCCTTTAACTTCAATCAAGAATCTTGAATTTCCTTGCTAGGAGGCTTTTTCCTCAAAGATTCCTTTTAAGCTTACTTTGGTGTTCAGGATCTCCAATTATAAATGTAGTCTCTCATTTCCACATTCCGTAAAGATGATTTCCCCAGTAACGGTAATTGACTAAGCTGATTCAAAGTCTTAGGGTGCAAACCACAGTTAGCAAGCTCCTTATGAACAACCTCCTGTGGAAATTTGTATACAAGTCAGTAAAAAGCACATTAGTCTTTGAACACTTAAGTTTTTAATAATTACCATGTAAACTTCGACAGATGGCTCTAATGTAATTCATCCTATCGACAGAAGTAGCAGCTGAACTCTTAGTTGATCAGAGGCTGGGCTCAGCCTGTAATCCCAGCACTTTGGGACGCCGAGGCAAGTGGATTGCCTGAGCCCAAGGGTTCAAGACCAGCCCAGGCAACTTGGCAAGACCTTGTCTCTACAATTGAAAAAAAAAGTTGGTTGGGCGTGGTAGTGCGTGCCTGTAGTTTCAGCTACTTGGAAGGCTGAGGCGGAAGGATCGTCAAACCCCACAGGTCAACGATGGGGTGGCTGTGAGCATGCTACTGCACTCCAGCCTGGGCAACAAAGTGATATTCCAACTCAAAAAACAAAATGAAACAGCTGATCAGAAAATTGAGTGATATAAAGGTGTTGACTCCTTTCACCAACAATATTCAGGTCTAAGAATCTCCATTGATCTAAGAATTCTTGCAGTGACAAAAATCCCACAATATTAATGTTGGTTATTTTTTAGTCTAGCAAACAAGTATAAGGCAGTTTTTAAAGGTTTTAAAAACAGCCGGGCTTGGTGGCTCAGCCTGTAATCCCGCACTTTGGGAGGCTGAGGTGAGTGGATTGCCTGAGTTCACGGGTTCGAGACCCACCTGGCAACTTGGCGAGACCTCATCTCTATAATAAATCAAAAAATTAGCTGGGTGTGGTAGAACGTGCCTGTAGTTCCAGCTACTTGGAAGGCTGAGGCTACGGTGCCTGGGAGCGTGCCACTGCACTCTAATCTGGGCGACACAGACTCCCAGCTCAAAAAAAATAAATAAATAAAAAAGTAAAAAAATAAATCAGTTAACAGTTTTATGATTTGAAACACAAAAGTGACTCAAATGAGTGACTTTTTCCAGCTTGTTTGAGGAAACTAGCTACAACTCAAACTGTTTACAGATGTCTACTTACCTTATCAAGTACTTTGTCTGTTGGCAGGCAGATATTAAAGACAGCAGTTGGCTCATGTGGATATAGTACGGCAGAGAAAGACCCACTCTGTGAAGATTTGAGTAGCATGGTCACAGAATGTAGAGAATGAGGCATGATAGGACCTGTAATCTCCAAACTAAATTGATCTTTGTATCCAGAAAGGGCTTGTGTCTTCACATTTACACTTCGTGCCTTTATAAAAATATAAAGAAAAGGAAAATGATACTCATCACTCAAGCTTTTGTCTCCTAGCTAAAAATAGGTTTAATACATTTCCATTGGAGTTTCCTCTATAATTGTTACAAACAGCTGGGTATGGCAGCTCACATCTATAATCCCAGCACTTTGGGAGGCTGAGGTAAGAGGACTGCCTGAGCCCATGAGTTCAAGAACAACCTGGGCAATTTAGCAAGAACTCATATCTACAATAAATCAAGAAAAATTAGCCAGGTGTAATGGCACATGCCTGTACTTGGAGGAAGGCTAAGGTGGAAGGATCACCTGAGTCCAGCACCTGTCTCCAGCCTGGGTGGGAGACTGACTCAAAAAAAAAAAAAAAAAAGTTACAAACGGAAGTATTTCCTAAGATACCAAAATAATGTTAAGTCAGTAAAATGTTTAGTAAATCCTCAATCTCCAGCATTCTTTCTTCCATATGATGAGATTTTCAGGTGAAGTATATTGTAGTGAATACAAGTTTTTCATACAGTATCTAATTTGGTAATACACTGGCAATGCAGAATATTAGAAAAACAAAAATTTTAAAAATTCACTTGCTATTAACATTTACTATATGTTTTGTATTTACACGTATACTTTTTTAAAAATCATTCTTTTCACTAACGCATTATCCAGTTTTGAGATGTTATAATTTCACGTAACATTCTTGGCTATGTCCTTTTACCAGTGAAGGAAGAAAACAAAATGAGATAAAGTGACCGTTCCGTAAATGGTAAAAAAGGAACACCAAAATGCTTTTATTGCTAATTACACATTATTAAAAAAGAAAAAAGGTCGGGCTCAGTGTCTCAGCCTGTAATCCCAGTACTTTGGGAGACTGCGGACTCGAGACCAGCCCGGGCAACGTGGCAAGACCTCATCTCTACAATAAAATTAAAAATAGCTGGGCATGGTAGCACATCTCTGTAGTTCCAGCAACTCAGAAGGCTGAGGCAGAGGGATTATCTGAGACCAGGAGGTGGTGGCTACAGTGTCAGGACAGCACTACTGCATTCCAGCTTGGGTGACAAAACTAGACCTTGTCTCTAATAAAAATAACAAAATTCCTCATCAACAAGGGTACCTGCATAATGAACATTTGTGTACTTAACCCTGAATTGTACCCCACATCTTTAAAATGAATTTTTTAAAAAAGGAAAAAAAATTAAAAGCAAAAAAATAAAAAATGTATGCTATCAAAGATAAGTAAAAATAAATAAATAAATACAAAAGTAAAGTACTTCTTAAAGCCAGGTTGTGGGGATAGGTGAAATGCAGAATTTCTTTTTATTACCTTAAGCATTTGCATTGTGGCACCTCGGAAAGCTACAGGAGATAGGAGGGTTGGTGGAAGTCCTGCCTGTGGACCTGAGGTAGCAACTAAACTCTTACAGTTGATCAAAAAATTGAGCAATGTAAAGGTGTTGATTCCCTTTACCAACACAACAGACTCAGGTCTGTGATCCATTTGCACTTCATGTTTCTCTTTACGCCTGAAGACGACCATTAAGGAAATTGCAAAAGCAGATCCACATTAATGGGGAAAGCAGTTTGGTTCTGAGTCACCTGGGACCCTTTTTCTCCATAATAAAATGGAAATTCTCTTGCTGCTTTTATTCACTGTGATCATGAGGCACAGGTTTCAATCAAAAAGTTAACCATCTGAATTTGCTAGACATTGACAACTAAAAAACTAATTTCTCCTCTAGTCAAAAATACTCCTGTTTTCCCATGAACTTAACCAAAACGTAATGTTTTCATTAAAAAGGTAGTATAATAGTTCACAGTTTATTGCTATTTAGGAGCTTGTTATTTAATGTTATAAGGGAAAATTAGTTTTAACATTATCTGAGGTTATTTTAAGATTGCAAAATTGGGTTGGGTGCAGTACCTCATGCCTGTAATCCCAGTACTTTGGGAGGCAAAGGCAGGAGGAATGTTGGAGACCAAGAGTTCAAAACCAGCTTGACCAAAAAACCAGCTAGACCAAAAAAAAAAAAAAAAGAAAGAAAAGAAAAAAGGATTAGTTGGGCATGGTGGCTGACCTATTTGGGGGCCTGAGGCAAGAGAATCTGTTGAGCCCAGGAGAAGGTTTCAGTGAACTATGATCGCGACACAGCACTCCAGGTTGGGTGACAAGAGTGAGACCCTGCCTCATAAATAAAACAAAACAGAGTCAATGTTAAATTGTTCACTAACATAAACTCAATTAAAATTAATTCTAGTTAACATTCAACTGAAAGGATACAGCTTGATTGAGAGTACGTCTGGCTTTTTAATTTTATCTTGCACACCCATCTCTTCTAGCCAGGAAAAACTTTCCTCTTCATCTTCATCACTGATTGCTTGTTCCCTAGGAAATGTTACAGTTAGGGTTCCTATTTCACAAAGCTGGACAATGTAAAAGGTTATTTTAATCACATACTCCCCATATCCCAAGTTTGTTCCAGATGCTCTCTCCTTATGGCCATTTTCTTTTATTAAAGGCAGAGAAAATTCAATACCTACATGAGAAAAATAAAATGTAGCTGAGTTTTCTTTAAAAGTATTTAACAGGTATGCCATACTTTTTAGTATACTAAGTCTGAAATGTGAGTACAAATGACCTATTAAGGCAGTGGTTTTCAAGCATTCTTGACAGTAGCCCACAATACAAAACCTATGAACATGCACACAACATATCTCCCTGAAACAAAAGGTTCAGAAAACAATATATATTCTCACTACATGTGATACTCTTTCACAAATTATACTGTATTCTAGTTCACTTTTTGAACAAGTGCTGACTGGGCTCACTAAATAGACTTTATGATCCACTAATGGATTGACCCAGTTTGAAAATCATGTTATTAAGGTGATAGGTCATTTCTACTATAAAAGAATTTCGAGAAGAGCATATTCGGATAGTGATTTTCCAGTCCAGTATGTTTTATTTTAGAGATCAGAGAAAGAAACATCAATTTAAAGCTATGTGTAAGGAGCAGCTTAAAAAACTGCAGGAAAAAACCCCGAAATAAATGTTTCTTAAAATAATATTGGTAACCCAGCACTTTGGGAGGCTGAGGTGAGAGGACTGCCTGTGCCCATGGGTTCGAGACCAGCCTGGGCAACTTGGCGAGACCTCAGCTCTCCAATAAATCAAAAAATTAGCCAGGTGTGGTGGTACACGCTTGTAGTTCCAGCTTCTTGGAAGGCTGAGGTGGAAGCATCCCCTGAGCTCAGCAGGTTGAGGCTGCGGTTGGCCATAAGAGTGCCACTGGCCTCCAGCCTGGGCAACAGAGTGAGACTCCAACTCAAAAAAAAAAAAAAAAAGTAATCAACTGGTAAAAGATATCTCAAATTTTAGCTTTTATTATTAATTTCCTTTTATTATTTTTTTTTCTAGATGATTTTCTAGGAATTTCCCCAGGTTTTTAAAAACTTTTTATTTTAATGCTATTTATTATATATATATATTTAAAGATGTGGTGTATAAGTGAGGATTAGGTATACAAGTGGACATAATATAGGTAAAGTTTGGGCCTCCATTTGGTTCCCACACTTTGCCTGGTTTAAGATTAGGTACCCTTATTGAGTTGTGCTCCCCCTGCTCCAAATTTTAGCTTTTAAGGCAAGTGTTTACTATATAATACAGTATCCTCACTTTAAAACAAAACTTTTACCTTCATTTTTCATAGCTTCTCTTAAACCTCGAGTTGTAGGAGATATAAGAGCTGTGATTACATCATTTCCTGCTAATCCTGCTGCCCGGAACAGGACAGTAAACTGGTAGGTGCAAACGTAGAAATAGGGGCAAAGTTTTGTCTTAAGCAAATTATATAGAGAAGTAAAGCTCAAAGACCTACAAAGTAAGAAAAATTTATTTAGGTATTAGTAAATGTTTAACTCAATGTTTAATTCTATATAATTCATTTGATACCTGGTTTAAAACACAACACAAATATTTCAGATATTGGTTTAGTTTTTGTGGTTACATACAACTTGGCTTTTATTAAAGACTTGATTATTTCTCAGTACTTTAACAAACACTGTAATCATTTTCTTTAAATAAAACTTAATTTATAATTAGTTGCTAACATTCTCTGAGCAGCTTTTAGTGATGAAAAAGAAAGCCACTGATAAGAAGTCACATTAAAGAATCAGAGACAAGCACAGTGGCTCATGCCTGTAATTCTAGCACTTCGGGAGGCAGAGGTGAGAGGACTGCCTGAACCCAGGGGTTGCAGACCAGCCTCAGCAACTTGGTGAGACTTCGTCTCTACAATAAATCAAAAAGTTAGCCAGGTGTGGGTTCCAGCTACCTGGAAGGCCGAGGTGGAAGGATCACCAGAGCCCAGCAAGTTGAAGCTATGGTGGCTATGAGCATGCCACTACACCTCAGCCTGGGTGACAGACACAAAAAGAGTAAAAAAAAACAAAAGAAAAAAAAGAATTAGCTCTTTAAATATAATTAGGAATTATATTTGTCAAACATTTATATATATTCCACAATTGGGTAAAGAATGTACAAGAGCTAAAAAAGTAAACAGTTTACATGTTGGTTATTGACAGCTTCAGATGAAATTCACAAGGACATAGATGTCCTTTTACCATTTTATATATCCACATCACAAATACGGTAGGGAGAGAATACTGCTAAAATGAAAATTCACTATTGGATTACACAAGATATTTTTTTTTTACTAATCTTACCAGTCACTAATTAAAATGTGTTGCAATGTTTCATCATTTGACCAAGGGCTTGTCTTTCCAGCCATTTTTCTATCAGCTCCAATACGAGGGAACAGTGGTAGCCAAGACAAGGCAGGGTGGAGCCAATAGACAAGGCTTTGCTGGAAGGCACAACGAAGCTCAGTGGAGAGTTTGGGATCCTAAAGACCAGAGGCAATAGTAGGCCGTTTTTGTCTTATGAGAAATATAGAATTTCATTAAAGAGACACTGAATATACCAAACACTTAGTCTAAGACTCCCTATTGCTGTCTATAAAAACAATTCATAACTGATATAGGGGCTAAGATGTAGTTTACCCTTTTTGGGGAAAATCTTTCTGACCAGAAATTACAGTCTGTTAAACCATATAATCAGAAGGAACACTTAAACATAGGTGGGAACTTTCTCCTGTCGCTACCATTCTTAAGAACAATAACTATCATTTTTATGAGGAGCAGGGGTGTACATATAAGTAACACTATGTTCAACCCTCCCTGAAAAATGTTGTTTTAAAAGTAGCCAGTAAACACTGATAATGCAAATTACAAATTACAAATTACCCTGAGCTATTTATTAAAAAGATGTATGTACCAAGGCCTCTTTCAGGTAGTTCTTTTTAACCTAGTTTGAGTTTATGTGATGCTTCAAAGTAATGTAATTGTTTCTCTAAAAGCACTACACTCCTTAACTCCATAAAATTTACAAGTAACAAGAATTAGTGCATATAAAACAAAAAGGAAAGTGGAGCAACCCCCTCAGGTCCCTTCTCACTGTGGGAGCTTTTCTGTCTTCTCAATAAATCCTGCTTTTACCAAAAAAAGGAAAGTGTGTAAGAAATGAGAAAGGTTGGGCATGGTGGCTCACAACTATAATCCCAGGACTTTGGGAGGCTGAGGTGAGAGGAATGCCTAGTCCATGGGTTCGAGACCAGCCTGGGCAACTTGGTGAGACTTCATCTCTACAATAAATCAGAAAATTAGCTGGGAGTAGTGGCGCATGCCTGGGGTTCCAGCTACTTGGAAGAATGAGGTGGAAGGATCACCTGAGCCTAGTAGGTCAAGGCTGTGGTGGCCATGAGCATGCCACTGCACTCCAGCGTGGGCAACAGAGTGAGACTCCAACTCAAAACAAAAAAGAAAAAAACAAAAAAAAGAGAAAAATCAGTAAAATTCATCAGCTCTTACAGTTATATTCAACTGCTTTTCTTTTCCTTGTATTTTCATTCTTAAAAAGTCTTAGGAAGGCTGGACACGGTGGCTCATGCCTATAATCTCAGCACTTTGAGAGACTGAGGCGAGAGGACGGCCTGAGTTCAGGGGTTCAAGACCAGCCTGGGCAACTTGGTGAGACTTCATCTCTATAATAAATAAAAAAATTAGCCAGGCATGGTGGCACATGCCTATAATTCCAGCTACTTGGAAGGCTGAGGCAGAAGGATTGCCTAAATTCATCAGGTCGAGGCTGTGGTGTCTGTGAGTGTGTCACTATACTCCAGTTTGGATGACAGAATGAAACTTCAACTCAAAAAAAAAAGTCTTAGGAAAGCATGGTTTAGTTCAAACAATTACTGCCTTCAATATTGATTAGTTATCAGGACAGGTGTCTAAATTTAATAGGTAGTTTACTCAACCGGATTAAAAAAAATATGAAAGCACCATTTGGAAAACCAAAATTTCCTATCTTTGTATCTTTAAATGACTGAAGAAAAACTAGAAGACAGTATCTCTGATATTTTGTAAAAAAGGACATTTTATACTTAATTTGTTACTTTAACACACAACTATTTTATTTCAGAATTACCTGTATGCTTTCAGGCAAAGTAACTTCTGTTGCCCTACAGTGCTGGACAAGACCTTGAGCCTCTTCTTGTGCTTTCAAATGATCTGCCCAGGTGAAGGGTTGAGAAGAGGTGAAAAGGAGTCGAGTTTTAATACTCCAGTCCACAGGTAACTTGGTACTTTCTGAGAATGGAATATCAGATTCGGAGAATGATATGTGTGGAGTCTTTCAGAAAACAAAAAACACAGAAATTAGTAAAGTATCAAGAAAAAAAACCTTCAAACTAAAGATTTTATCAGTAACATATTCATGAACACTGAAAAGTCCAAATTATATAAGTTGTTTATGTTACTAATAACATTAAAAATATACTACACTGGACTCAGGTCCCCTCCCACTGTGGGAGCTTTTTTGTCCTCTCAATAAATCATGCTTTCTCAAAAAAATAAATAAACAAAACGAAATTACACCAAACTTTTAACAGTGGTTACCTCTAGAAGTGGGAATTTTTTGTTTGGATATGGTGGTGGCAGAGGTGCAGACTTCACTTTCTTAGTTTACACAGATCTTTATAGTACTATAAATGTTGCTATCAAAGTAGAAATACTCTAAGCATTTAAAAAAGCACCTTTTAAGCCTCTGAAACTCTGGGCTAAGCTGCTCCTCCAGCAGGTTATTTAGGAGGGGCCCCTAAAGGCCATATTTAAGAAACACTTGACCTTAAATATTTCTCCTCAGCTTGTTTGCTGTCCTTTCAGATCAATCAATAGTCTCCACATTACTAGGATTTTTTTTAGGCAACATGACGACAAAATTTTAGAGAAGGGGAAAGCATCTCTAATAGACCATATGAAGTCCATTTATTTATAAAGGAGATTGGGTCTTAAACTCTTCTAGCCTGTTCCCATTAGGACAAACTATGTATTTATCAAACTATGTAGCACCACAGAAGTACTCTGGGAATGGAAATGAGAGTGTGTGTTGGGGGAAGGGAGCAATGAGGTTCAATACTACACCACAGTCTGTGGTGGTAATCTGGGGATTTGGTTTGAAGGGCCGAGTTCAAAAAATAGCTGGGCCTGGAGAAGTCACTTACTCATAGAAGAGTGTTTAAAACTGTTGGGGTAGAAGGCAAAACCCATTTCTACTAGGTCTATTTTAGTGTGGGCTGCCATTATAGACATCATTATGGTAGCATACCAAGTCCTTCACCTTGGCTGATGCCATTTTTTCATCTTTGGTAGAGATGATCACTCTCAAGCTTCTCGGTAAAAAAATACTTTTCAAGTATAAATTTATAAAATATAGGTTCAAGTCCTAGCTAAGAGAAAAATGTATAGAAATACACATCTTAATGATATTTTACAAGTATTACCTGGGGTAATTCAATAACACTTGTTCTTTCAGGAAACTTCTCTTCCCACAGCAAGTCATTTTCTTGATTCGTATCTAAAATCTGGGGTTAAAAATATTGTCCTTTTGAAACATAAATGATGCTAAAGTCTAATTTAAATATGTACGGAGCCCCACCTGGCATACACATTTCTCAATAAATGCAAGTGCACCCACATTCTTTCGCAGCCAAATCAATCCATCCGAGTTGCACTTCAGTTCTGTCTCTGAATTTTAATACTAAGATTAAGAGGAGGAAAAAGGACCGGTGTTTCAACCCAAACATCCAAAAGGCTTTGGAGTAAAACAAATGCTAGTAAATTCTGACCCCACGAATCTTCAACATTCCTCTATCCCCAGAATAACTGTGAGTGCGTGAGAAGTGACCCTGAATCACGGTGGGAAAGCAGGGTCTTGCGATGTGCCCCATCAACCAGCTGCCTTCCAGCAGGGGTTGTCCCTAAGGATTTTTCGAGCTATCGTCCAGCTTGGCTCCGAGCTGAAATCCGGCGGGGGCGGCGCGCCCGGCGCCCTTCACTCTCCTCAGGAGGCACCGCCGCCCCGGGTCTCACCCCGCAGGGGGAGGCGGCGGGGCGCACCTCCCACAACCCGACCGTTCGAGCGCCGCCGCACCTACTGCGGGGCACCCTTAGGCCGCCGGCGGCCGAAACTCTTCGCGCCCGTTTCCTCGCCTCGAACCGAGGGCTTCCATCCCTGAGCACAGCAGGGTCAACCCGAAAGACAAGAGCCCTCGGCTTCCCGGTGACACTCACCGGGCCCGGCGCCTCCTGCCGGCCGCGGGAAGGCCCGTCGGGAAGCTCCGCGGCGACCTGCGGCCGGTTGTCCAGGCGAGCGAAAGGGTTCCTCCCGGCCGCGGCTGGGCCGCCACCGCCTCTGCCCGCTGCGGCCGGGAAGGGGCGAAGGGGCAGCCCGGCCGCCAGGGCGGCTTGGCGAGGCGTCGGCTCGAGCAGCTCAAAAGGCGGGGGGACGGCGGCCTCACGGCTCCGGGCCCTTTTCCGTCGGAGCCGCAGTATCTCGGGCGGCTTTTTGAAGCCGGGAGAGTAGCCCGGCACCGAAAAGGCCATGGCTCGCAGCGGCTGAGGGGGCCAGCGGCCCCGCAAGCACTTCCCGCGCGCGCCGGCCCCGCCCCCGACGTGGCGCCGCGCCGAGCTTCGTCGGAGGGCCGCCCTAAGGGCCCGCCCCCGACGTGGCTCCGCCTCGGCGTGGCGCCGGGAGGAGCATGCGTGGTAGCCAACCCGCGAAGCTCCGCCCACGGCTGCGTTCCTCTGAGGCCGCCACCGCCCCCTGGCCCAGTGGTGACCCCGCCCTGGCGTTCCTGCCTTGGTCCTCCGCGGTAGTCCAGTCACCCAGTGTGGCGACGCTGGGAAGCGTGCGGTCCAAGGCACCATTGTGCACTACTCTGTTGGGCACCGAAATAACTGAACGCTATTTAAGCCCGCAGCAGGTTGTGACCAGCCCGGGGTTTGGCGCCTGGATGAAAAGGAAACGTCGTACTTGAGTTGCTGTGATGGGCCGCTGCTTGGATAAACTTCGAAAAGGCAGTGACTACAGCTAAGTCAAGAGGTGGCCAGAGGACACTGGGCCTCCTCCTCCACCCGCCAAATAGAGAACTCAGATAAGAAATTAGCACGCTTGCTGTAGAAGCTCAGCCTCTCGACAACCTGCCCGTCTTTTCCAAGGCCTGACCTCCTCTGCCCTCCATGCATTCTGCAGCCTCAATTGGCGAATACAGTTGATCGTCTTTGATTCTGGGTAAACCCGAAGTGAATATTTGAAAACACAAAATGTAATTGCCTGTAGGCTAGAATAGACTTGAAAGCATATTCAAATACTTAAATTAAGACAGGAAAGGCTTGTTAAGGAAGGAACGAAGGTATTGAGAACGAAGTTGATACAAAGTAACGTTATTTGATAGTTTAGTATAGACCTGTAACAGCTTTATCGATAGAGTAGTGTGGCTTTTGCTGAAAACAGCAATGGGAAGAATTTTAAAGCAGAGGCAAAATGTAAAGAAACAATAAAATTGTTTTCAGAATATTCCTTTCAGATGTCAATTATAGAATCATCTTGATCATTTGCACAATGACTTTTCAAATGTGTCAAATAACTGAGCATCTTGACTTAGACAACAGGATAACATGCTTAAAAATAGAACTTGCTTTTATCTTCCTTGATTTCTTTCTATGATTTCCAAGGAAAATGCTGGCTTCAAATACTGGGATGGGTTTATCCAACTGAGGTCTGAGAAAGAAATTAAAACTGAACAACTTGCTTTTTTCTTCCTTGATTTTTCTGAACAACTTCCATGGAAACTTTTGCCTCATATAGTGGAATTGGTTCATCCAACTGAGGTCTGAAAAGAAATGAAATTGTTAGAAATGTCATGTCTAAAGATGAGTAGAACATATAGGATGGTAGAGAAGACAATTGCTATTGCTCAATTCTAATACTTTAAATAATTCAAACAAACATGTCCATTAGTACTTCCACTGTTAAAAGGGGTTAAGTCTTGAAAGGAAAAAATACCTACTTTATATACTATTCCCTATTTTATAAGTGATAAACAGATCCTACTTTAAAACAACACACATAGTGTGATTTCAAGTTATTGGCTACTTCATGTTGCTTTGGGAGGGGTGATGAGGAAAAGCAAAGGGTAAAGTATAGTATGGAATACAGTGAGGAAAAGTCACAAGTCACTCCTATCTTTGGCTTATTGGTGTACTACCAGATACACTTTGAGATATATTAAAGAACAGCTATTTATCTAAACTAATAAAATATGGAGGTAATAGGTATACTGTAAGAGCTGAAACAAAAATAGAAATGCTGATATTATCTCCTTGAGAATAAAAAAATTAAAAAATGATTCAGTTACTTTATCATACCTAAAAATACCAGTCGAGAGCTTCTCCATCACATCTTTTAAGATACGTAGCTGGAAAGATTGTTAAGGTGGCAATGTAAAGACAAGACAATTAAACCAGTCAATAAATAGAAGATGCTAGGCAGGTCACTTTTTAAGTTTTGTACTTTCAGAGAGTCAAAATGTTGTTACAGAAAGTCTGTAAGTCTTTACATTTACCTTAAAATAAGGAAATGGTTTGAGAGAGCTGGTGGTGTAATAAAGCCTAAACTTCTGAGCACAAGTGATGACAGCAGCAAGCATAGTGCTGCCCTAAGTGATAACCACTGTTACCCCCAATGGATGGTAATGGAATAGTGTCTAGTTTTCATTCTGCACAACTTATGTCATTTTTGGTTAAAAACAATTTTAGCACTTACATCTCTTACTTTAGAAACACATTTATAGACTAATCTGGATAATAGGCTCAAAATTTGTTTATGGAAAACTTAATCAAAGCCAGACATGGTGGCTCATGCCTGTAATCCTAGCACTTTGGGAGGCAGAAATAAGAGGATTGCCTAAGCTCAGGGGTTCCAGATCAGCCTGGGCAACTTGGCAAGACCTTGTCTCCACAATAAATCAAAAATTTAGCCAGATGTAGTGGCATGCGCCTTTGGTTATAGTTATTTGGAGGGCTGATGTGGAAGGATCGCCTGAGCTCAACAGGTGGAGGCTGCAGTAGCCGTGAGTGTTGCTACTGCACTCCAGCTTGAGTGAGAGTGAGACTCCCACTCAAAAAAAAAAAAAAGCCAGGCACAGTAACTCACATCTGTAATCCCAGTACTTTGAGAGGTTGAGGTGAGAGGATTGCCTGAGCCCGTGGGTTTGAGACCAGCCTGGGCAATTTGGCGAGACCTCATCTCTACAGTAAGTAAAAAAAATTAGCCGGGTGTGGTGGCACACGCGGAAGGCTGAGGTGGAAGGATCACCTGAGCCCAGCAGGTTGAGGCTGCAGTGGCTTTGAACATGCCACTGCACTCCAGCCTGGGCAACAGAATGAGACTCCAACTCAAAAAAAAAAAAAAAAAAAATTGCAGGGTGTAGTGACTTAAGCCTGTAATCCCAGCACTTTGGGAGGCCAAGGCGAGAGGATTGCCTGAGCTCAGGTGTTCGAGACCAGCACGGGCAACTTGGTGAAACCTTGTCCAATAAATCAAAAAATAAGCTGGGCATGGTAGCGCGTGCCTGTAGTTCTAGCTACTTGGAACACGAAGGCGGAAGGATCGCCTGAGTCCAGCAGGTCGAGGGTGTAGTGGCCATGTGTGTGCCACTGACCTCCAGCCTGGGCAAAAGAGTAACAATTCAACTAAAAAAAAAAAATTGTGCCCGTGACTATAAGACCACCCTGGGCAACTCTAGAATATATCAAGAAAAATCAGATGGATGTGATGGCACATGCCTATGGTTCCAGCTACTTGGAAGGCTGATGTGGAAGGATCACCTGAACCCTGGCACTGCCCTTCAGCTTGGGCAACAGAGTGAGACTCCAACTCAAAAAGAAAAAGAAAAAAAATTTAATCAGTATATAGTTGTTCCTTGGCATCCAAGGGGAATTGGTTTCTGGACCCCTTCGAATACCAAAATATATAGATACTCAAGTCCCTTACATAAAATGGGTGGTATTTACATGAAACCTATGAATATCCTCTGTTATACTTTAACTATATATTGCTTATAATATCTAGTGCAATGCAAATGCTATGTAAATAGTTACACCATATTTCTAAAAAAATTTTTTTTTTGAGTTTGAGTCTCACTCTGTCACCCAGGCTGGAGTGCAGTGGCACGCTCATGGCCACCGCAGCCTCGATGTGCTGGGCTCAGGTGATACTTCTGCCTCAGCCTTCCAAGTAGCTGGAACTACAGGCATGTGCCACCATGCCTGGCAACATTTTCTTGATTTATTGTAGAGATGAGGTCTTGCCAAGTTGTCCAGGCAGTCCTCTCACCTCAGCCTCCCAAAGTGCTGGAATTATAGACGTGAGCAACTGCACTCAGTCTGAAAAAAAAATGTACTATTTTTAATTGTTGAATTATTAATTTTTGTTTTTTCTGAATATTTTCTATCTGTGGTTGGTTGAATCAGAGGATGCAGAACCCATGTATAATGGAGGGCTGTTTGTCACTAACAGAATTAGAAAATGATGCAGAAAACACACACACACTCCAAATATAAAAAAAAAAGAAAATAATGCAAAAATTAATTATCTTGATAATTTAACTGAAATTACAATATTGGGATCTAGAGTCTATATGATTGTTAATACTGCTGAATTATTTATATCCTAGGCTCTTGTCAGCTGCAGTTACTCACACCTATAATTCCAGCACTTTGGCAGGCTGAGGCAAGAAGACTGTTTGAAGTCAGCAATTCAAGACCAGCCTGGGCAACGTAGTGAAACCTTGTCTCTAAAACATTATTTAAAATAAAACTTTAAAAAAAGAATCACATATTTGGAAAGAGATGTCTATGTTAATCAACAGCAGCAATGTGTGAACTGATTGAGGGGGTTTGCACAGGTGAGGACTAACGTCTGATTCAGGACTTTAGACGATATGATCATAAGCCATTTAAAAAGTAATTTAGCTGGGTGCTGTAGCCCAAGCCTGTAATTCTAGCACTTTGAGAGGCCTAGGCAGGGGACTGCCTGAGTACGAGGATTCGAGATCAGCTTGGGCAACATGGCAAGACCTCATCTCTACAATAAATCAGAAAGTTAGCCAGGTATAGTGGTGTGTGCCTGTAGTTCCAGCTACTTGGAAGGCTGAGGTAGAAAGTTCTCCTGAGCCTAGCTAGTCGAGGCTACGATGGCTGTGAGTGTACCACTGCACTCCAGCCTGGGCAACAGAGTGAGACACTGACTCAAAAAAAGAAAAAAGAAAAAGAAAGACCTAAGGAATATTAACTCATTTTTTTTTTTGAGTTGGAGTTTCACTGTCACCCAGGGTGAAGTGCAGTGGCACCCTCACAGCCACTGCCACCTTGACCTGCTGGGCTCAGGCAATCCTTCCGCTTCTGCCTCAGCCTTCCAAGTAGCTGGAACTACAGGCACTTGCTACCACGCCCAGCTAATTTTTTGATTTTTTTTACTGTAGAGACGAGTTCTCGCCAAGTTGCCCAGGCTGGTCTCAAACCCCCAGGCTCAGGCAATCCTCTCGCCTCGGCCTCCCAAAGTGCTGGGAATATAGGCTTGAGTCACCAAGCCCAGCTTGTTTCCTATCATTGATATCATTTAAAGAACTTAGTAGAGTACAAGGTAAATTTTAAGCCAGAAACTCAAATCAGTGGATTAAAAGGATATAAAGATATTTTCCCTGTTGTACATTTGACAGATTCCAAACTTCATCATTAAGGAAAGCCACTGTTGCTCCCTTGAGGAAAAGGCAATGGCTATCTGGAGGATCCAACTTGAATAGAATAAAACAAAGACCTGATCAGTTACTGTGAGTTTAACAGCAGAAGGATGATTGGTATCTTGAGGCAGAAAAACTACAAAAATTAAATACTATCCAAATCACAAATCATCAGCACACAAACTTTAATAAGAACATGTAAACTATACATTTTCCTTCTATATCATGAATGATGAAACACCAAGGTGATAAGTATATACATGGCAGATGCAGGGCAATCTAGAATCTGGTGATAAATTGATGTGGGGGTGTGTATGTGTGTCATTCCTTGCCACTACTTACCAGTCACCTTTATAAGGATGTTGGAAAACTGATGAAGATTAGTATATGAGAATTATGGTATTTGCGCATCAGCCATGATATAAATATGGAATTAGAATTCTGCTGAAAAGTATAACTTTGGGAGATAACTTATATACATACACATATATAGGAATTCCAATTTGAATAGGAGGTTGTGCTAATTTTATACAGAAATATTTTGCTAAGTATACATCAACAATATTTGTTACTAAGAAAAAAATGCTATTTGAAATACCATTTCAAAACTCATAACTCACTACTCCCAAATCACTGAATAAAATTATACTTCACTGTAGCTGGAAGAGCTTCTCTACCAGGCAGTATGTCAACATTTTGGCCAGATGTAGATAAAGTTAAAACAAAACAAACTACGTTTCTGTTGGAAACAAAATATGGAATGGAAAAAAAAACTACTTTTCTTTAAACATAGGGTATAATTCAGAATTTGTACCAATTTAGCCATATTTCACCCCCAAAAAGACTTAGGCATTATTGTTTTGTTACTTCCACCCCTTTGGTGTAATAGTAATGCTTTATTATTTCTGATAATACCTGAAGGTTTTCTTCTGTTGTTACCCAATGGCCTCCAACACCAAGAAGTGTAATGATGTCATGTTTATGTGGTAGTAGTTGTAATTTTACAGCTGGCTCATCATCTTTATTATATAATCTCACTTTCAAGAGAATAATTTTTAAAAGAGAGAGAAAAACAAGAAACAAATTTTATAATAAACTGACAATAATTTATTCTTCAAACGAGTTCTTATTTATTTATTTAGGGATAGGGTCTTGCTATGTTGCCTAGGCTGGCCTCGACTCAAGCAATCTTCTGGCTTCAGCCTCTCAATTAACTGGGACTGTAGGTGCGCACCACCACGCCCAGCTCTCTCTTTACTTTTTATTTTATTATTATTATTATTATTTTTGAGTCGGAGCATCATTCTGTCACCCAGGCTGGAGTGCAGTGGCTGTGATCTTGCCAGCCGTGATCAGCCTTGACCTGCTGGGCTCAGGTGATCATTCTACCTCAGCCTTCCAAGTAGCTGGAGCTACAGGCATGTGTCACCACACCCAGCTAATTTTTTAATTTATTGTACAGATGAGGTCTTGCCAAGTTGCCCAGGCTGGTCTCGAACCCGTGGGCTCAGGCAATCCTCTTGCCTCAGCCTCCCAAAGTGCTGGGATTACAGGTGTGAACCACTGCGCCCAGCTCTCTTTACTTTTTTAATGTACAAGTGAGGAAGCACTTTTCTTAGAAAAAGACAACACACAGTATATTTCGATACCTTAAATTATACTTTTTGCAATTGGTTATACAATTTACCTTAAATTCAATTATAAGTGAAATAAATGAACAGCCTATCTTCATTTGAAAATCAGACAAGGTAATGTAACATATAACTAAGTCTGATAATTCTGCTCATAATATTGACAGCTTAATATATTGAGATGAGTTGATTTCTGGTTAAAGAATTTATAGACTCTGGCCAAGTGCAGTGGCTCAATCTGTAATCCCAGCATTTTGAGATGCTGAGGCGAAAGGATTGAGGGGTTTGAGATAAGCCTAGGCAACTTGGTGAGACCTTGTCTCTACAATAATTCACAAAAACCAGCCAGGTGTGGTGGCATGCGTCTGTAGTTCCAGCTTCTTGGAAGGCTGAGGCAGAAGGATCGCCTAAGCCCAGCAGGTTGAGGCTGCGGTGGCCGTGAGCATGCCGCTACACTCCAGTCTGGGCGACAAGAGTGAGACTCCAACTCAAAAAAAAAAAAAATACATAAAAACTTATAGACCTAATTACTAACTATTGAAACATCCATTTGAAGAAAAAGACAATGAATTGTTTATACTTCCACTGAGATTTTTCTCTGAGTTATTTTCAAATCTTGAAAACACTGGTTAAAAAAACCCAACCATGATAGTTATAGCCATATTTATCCATGATTCTTACTTACATTAGAAGATAAACCCTAACAAAGTATAAATAGAAGAACTTTGCAGGCTTGTAAACCTATACTTTAGGAGTAATAGCATTACTTAAGTATAAGAGTAGGAGTTAAGGTCAGGCTCAGTGGCTCAGCCTGTAATCCCAGCACTTTGGGAAGCCAAGGTCAGTGGATTGCCTGAACCCGTGGGTTCAAGACCAGCCCAGGCAACTTGGAGAGGCCTCGTTTGTACAGTAAATAAAAAAAACTAGCTGGACATGGTAGCACGCGCCTATAGTTCTGGCTACTTGCAAGGCTGAGGCAGAAGGATAGCCGGAGCCCAGAAGGTCGACACTGGGGTGGCCGTGAACGTGCCACTGCATTCCAGCCTAGGTGACAGAGTAAGACTCCAACCAAAAAAAAAAAAAAAAAAAAAAAGAGTAGAAGTTAAATATACATTAAACTAAAGACATTCAAGAAAAGTCAAACTGGAACAAATTTCTATGTAGTTTCCAAAGAGACTGTAGAAGTCAGCCATCTAATAGAGAGCAGCCACACATAGCAGATCTGACCGAAGAAAGCATCTCAAAATGGTGTATTACCTGGGAACCTCTGAGGTGTAGTTATGTCATTTGTTACTCAAACTTCAGTGTCTATGCTTTGTTTATTTTTTAACTTTTTAAAAAATTTAAACATAAAATTGAGACGTGGTCTCACTATGCTGCCGAAGCTGGTCTCAAACTTCTGGCCTCAAGCGATCCTCCCATCTTGGCCTCCCAAAGTGCTGGGATTACAGGTGTGAGCCTGGTTTCAATGTTTGTGCTATAAAAGGCAAGCATTTTCTCTTGGGACAGTGCTTACAATGAGAATAAAATGAAGAGGCTTCAACTAAAATAAACAAGTCTTTAGTTAAAAACAAAACCCAAAATTAAACATCCACTTCAATAAATGCATTAATAATTATTTGTTTTGAAATTCATCAAACTAAAAAAATTAGACAGGTTACTGATTTCATAAGGTACCTACCTCCAGCATCTAGGACAATATCCACTCCTAGGCCACCTGTTTCTTCTAAACAGCTTTCAGCAACATGGACTTTCCCATTAGAGACATCAATCACTCGAGCTGTAAAGGACAGGAGAGCAGGCAATTGTACTGTTCTGTATGTGATCAACACAAACAAATCAGGGAAAAGAAAAAGAAAGCAAATAGCCGGGCTTGGTGGCTCAGCCTGTAATCCCGCGCCTTTGGGAGGCTGAGATAAGTGGATTGCCCGAGCCCGCGGGCTCGAGACCTGCCTGGGAAGCGAGACCTCATCTCTACAATAAATCAAAAAATCAGCCGGGCATGGTAGCGCATGCCTGTAATTCCGGCTACTTGGAAGGCTGAGGCGGAAGGATCGCCAGAGCCCAGCAGGTGAGGCCGGGAGCGGCCACTGCACTCCAGTCTGGGCTACCGAGTGAGACTCCAACTCAAAAAAAAAAAAAAAAAAAGAAAGCAAATAAATATCTATTGTCTGACATGAGTTATTGAAATAATTACTGAATTTAAAGGCGAAAATGCCAATTCAAATTATAATTTTTCCTCATATAACCCAATATTGGTAAGTTTCATTCTAAATGAAGGGATTGGTATATTCAACGAAATAAAAAAGTGAATATTTTGGGCAACCCCCTCGGGTCCCCTCCCACTATGGGAGCTTTTCTGTCCTCTCAATAAATCCTGCTTTCTAAAAAAAAGTGAACATTTTGTGGATAAGGTGATCCATGACAGGTTTGTTGATGCAGAGGACTATTCTCTATTGTTATAGGATATGTTGCCAGAATTGACAATTTGAAAACACAGAGGTTTATGTAAACATGCACATACATGCACATGTGGACACACAAAGATATGAACTGGGAGACTAAGCAGTTTCTTAAGTATGTTCAGAGCTAAAAAGTTCACCAATATATAGATGTTCCTCAATCTACGATGGGGCTACACCCCAATAAAACTATCATAAGTCAAAAAATGCATTTAATACCCCAATAAATCCATCACAAAATAAAGTTATAAATCAAAACATTGTAAGTCAGAGATCCTTTGTGTTTCTGCAATGATTATCATCACCAGAGGCTGTTTAGTCCTTTCTCAGTCACAGTAATCCTCTCACTTCCCCTCTTGCTCTCTCAAATGAAGAACAATTTTAAAGGTAAGGAAAAGAATCATGATGCTTTTTAGGAGAATTAGAAAGTTGAACTAATTTAACTGGTTGCTTTAAGGTATTATGTTAATAGAATTACATAAATAGAACAATAGAAATTATTGAATTTTTTAAAATTCTAAGAATTTTGAACAGGCATATGAAGATGTGTATATTTCATTTTTGTGTCTTATAACAGCTTCTTGTTGAAGAGAATTCTTCTCAGTGCTTCTCAGATTAGAGGTATAGTCCAATAGTCATCTAGGATTGGGCAATGGGGCAGAGGACAAAAGGGAAGGGTCACAAAGCAATCTAGGAAGGGCAGAATTAACCAGCAAGAAACCTTTCCCTTCAACAATACTATTTAGGCTCTCTTTCTCCAATCTATTTTTAAATCCTTTCTTTTTCCTTGTTCCTCCTTTCTCCAACCCCTATACTGCCTTCCTTCCATTTTTTGGTTTATCTCTGCCAGAATCATAATGTAAAAATGAAAATAAGGGCCGGGCGTGGTGGCTCAAGCCTGTAATCCCAGCACTTTGGAAGGCTGAGGCAAGAAGATTGCCTGAACCTGGGGGTTCGAGGCCAGCATGGGCAACTTGGTGAGACCTCGTCTCTACAATAAATAACAAACTCAGCTGGGTTTGGTGGCGTGCATCTGTAGTTCCAGCTACTTGGAAGGCTGAGGTGGAAGGATCACCTAAGCCCAGCAGGTTGAGGCTGCGGTGGCCGTGAGCATACCACTGCACTCCAGCCTGGGCAACAAGAGTGAGACTGCAACGCAAAACAAAAACAAACAAACAAAAAAGGAAATAACATGGACTTGAATGTTAGGTAGGCCTGGGTTCAAATTTTATTCCAGTCATTTTTCTAATTATATATTCTTGGATAAGCTATTTAAATTCTCTGAGATGCTGTTTCCTAGATGGCCAACACAGGGTTGTTGAGGAGTTAAGGAGGCAACATCCATGCTAACACTCATTGAATCTTCCTTTCCTTTCCTTCTTGCCCTACACTCTGCTCATTCTCCTGCTAGCTTTCTGTTTCTTTCTCTCTTTTTTCAGTATTTTCAGTCTCTATTTTCTTCCTCCTCTCTATAATTATTGCTATTAGGATAGGTGCAATCTTTTAAAGAGCTCACTAGCCTCCACCATGTCCTGTTCATCATAAACCATATCTAACCTGTGTTTCTGTGTAAATGAATCACCTTCATTCCTAGTCTATCACAGAAAATAGACAACTTTAGAGGTATATCACAGAGTAAAAGAGGTTGAGAAATATACAAAGTGATATAAAAATATAAAACCAAAGAGGCATCAGGTATTTCTAAATTGTGTCGAAGTTCACCTAATTCAAACTTGGGTATATTGATTTTACAATGGGGGCAAAAAAAGAAAACATACTGAAAGATGTAGGTTTTAAAAATTTAAATAATTGGCTGGGTACGGTGGCTCATGCCTGTAATCCCAGCACTTTGAGAGCTGGAGGCAAGAGGACTGCCTGAGCCCAGGGATTCAAGACAGCCTAGGCAACTTGGCAGACCTTGTTGCTAGAATAAATAAAAAAATTAGCTGGAGCCGGGCTCGGTGGCTCAGCCTGTAATCCTGCGCCTTTGGGAGGCCGAGGTGAGTGGACTGCCTGAGCCTGCGGGTTCGAGACCCGCCTGGGCAACTTGGCGAGACCTCATCTCTACAATAAATCAGAAAATTAGCCGGGTGTGGTAGCGTGCGCCTGTAGTTCCAGCTACTCAGAAGGCTGAGGCGGAAGGATCACCAGAGCCCAGCAGGTCGAGGCTGCCATGGCCGGGAGCATGCCACTGCCCTCCAGCCTGGTGACAGAGTGAGACTCCAACTCAAAAAAAAAAAAATTAGCTGTGTGTAGTGGTACGCACCTGTAGTTCCAGCTACTTGGAAAGTTGAGGTGGAAGGATTGCCTGATCCCAGCAGGTGGAGGCTGCAGTGCCTGTAAGCATGCCACTGCACCCCAGCCTGGATGACAGAGTGAGACTCCAACTCAAAAAAAAAAAAATTAAATAATTAAAACTATCAAAAAAATTAAATTAAACTGAATTAAAACTATCACTTGAGTAAATTTGGAGTAGCACAGATACTAAGTGCATTTTAAAACTGATTTTCACATGGGTTTTTTTTACTATATATGTGCAGTTTTTAAAGGTGATATCCCTTCAAATTTCCTATTTTAAAGACTGTTTTCAGTAATGTTACCCACCTATGGAAGGCCGAAGTCTTTCAAGGCATTGCTTGTCTTCAAGGCTGCATGCTGTCGAAATCACTTTGGCTCCTCTATGGTGTGCTAACTGAATAGCTATTGTACCAAATGCCTGTGTGGAAAAACATACAATGGTTTGGTAGGTATTAGGGTAGAGATCATAGCTAATTCATTTTGTAGATTGTTTAATAAAGTGTAATTATTTCATGTTACTTTAGAATATTTTTATGTTATCTAAAAGGAAAAGAGAAAAAATATGGACAAGTTTAGTAAAGGAAGTATCTGATTGACTTTCTTCTTTGGAAGGGCTAGTGGGAAAGCTGCATATGTCACATGCTGTCACTTAATCTGCCCATAGCACATAAATTCCAGGATGGAGGGCCACATTCAGATACCTGGCCATGGAAAGAGAAAAATGGGCCTTTAAGGACCTTGTCAACATGATGGTCTAAGCTGATTAGACAGTATGTATGGAGTTCAGCTACCTCTCTTTAAAGACAAAAGCACTTCAAAACTCCATCCTGTTCTGGACCCATGGGGTAAATTCAAAGAAACACTACTGTCCTGATGCTAGACTCAGGCTAAGCCAATGCTGAAGATGGTTCTACCATTTCTTCAAAGAAAAGCAGGAAAAAAGTATTTTCATGAAAAGTCAATTAGAAAATAAAACTGTAAATTCATTTCAAGTTCTTAAAAAATACTTTTAGATTATAATATTTTTACATATTTAAGAAACCATACATGTAACATGCTTAAATTAGGACATTTTGATCTTGTGTGTGATACATTTAAAAAATGCCAACACTTATTAACATAAATCTAAGGCTGAGACATATGATACAACCTGTAGGGAGTTCTGGAGTATGACTTCAAAGACTCATGAACTATTTCAGGCTTTGTGTAATAGTGAAAAAAATGGCTTATCTGCCTTTTAATGTGCCAGCAGATTCAAAGTAATAAACTAATCATACTAAATTTAACTCTTATCTTCTGTTGAGAAAAGCTGCTTATTATAGCCAAGTGGGATGGTAGTAAAGAAATCAGTGACTAAGGTATTGGCAAAGAATTACATTAGCAAATAGATAATTCATTTCTAAATTTCCTAAGTTTACTGTATGTTGGTCTGTTTCTTTTGCTTTTTTCTTTTTTGAGTCAGGTTCTCAATCTATCACACAGGCTAGAGTGTGGTAGCTCCATCACGGCTCACCACAGCCTCAACCTCCTGGGCTCAGGCAATCTTTCTAACTCAGCCTCCCCAGTAGTTGGGACTACAGATGCATGCCACCATGCCTGGCTAATTTTTTTTTTTTTTGTAGACACGAGGTCTTGCTATATTGCCCAGGCTGGTCTTGAACTTCTAGGCTCAAGTGATCTTCCTGCCTCGGTCTCCCAAAGTGCTAGAATTACAGGTGTGAGTCGCTGTGCTTGGCTGGTTTGTTTCTTAATAAAACGATTAGCACCTACACTTGCTCCATCCATTATCAGCACTGATTTTCCAGGAGAGAGATGAGAAAGATAATGCAGAGCTGTATAGGCTCGTACTCCATCCCGAATGGTTCCAGCTGCTTCTGTCCATGTAACCTTTTCTGGTTTATGAACTATCACAAAGAACAAAAAGAAATAATTTGTTAGCAAGTCCCATTTACCTGCCTCCTGGCTCTCTTTTTTGCTTCAACTCTACCACCAATGCCCTGGTCCAAACCCCTTCTTCCCATTATCTACTATCTTATAGCTTCCCTGTTTCCATTATTGCCCATGCACAATCCATTTCCCACATAGGAGCCAGTGTATGTGCTTTTTTTAAAATTTGGAGTCTCACTCTGTCGCCCAGGCTGGGGTGCAGTGGCACGCTCACAGTCACTGCAGCCTCAACCTGCTGAGCGCCAGTCTTCCAAGTAGCCGGAACTACAGGTGTGCACTACTACACCCAGTTAATTTTTTTGATTTATTGTAGAGACAAGGTCTCACCATGTTGCCCACGCTGGTCTCCAACCAGCGGGCTCAGGTAATCCTCTTGCCTTGGCCTCCCAAAGTGCTGGGATTACAGTTTTGAGCCACCATGCCCGGCCCTGTATGTGCATTTTTATTGTGAAATAAAACACATGCAAAAAAGTTCACAAAAGTACAGCTGGATGAATAAATATAAAGCAATTATGCAAGTAACTATCATCCTGGTGGAGAGTGAGAACAAAGGCATCAACCCTGCAGCCTCTTTTCTCCCCACCAGAGGCCACCACCATTCTCACTCAATTTCTTATTTGCTTTTAGAGTTTATCACTCAAGTTCTCACTTCTAAACAATATAACTTAGTTTTGCATACGTTTTGAACTTTATTTAAATGAATTCATACCATAAGCATTCTTTCCTAGTTTGCTTTTTATGTTCCACATTATTATTATTATTATTATTATTTTGAGTTGGAGTCTCACTCTGTCACCCAGGCTAGAATTCAGTGGTATACTCATGGCAACTGCAGTCTCAACTTGGGTTCAGGCAATCCTTCTACCTCAGCCTTCCAAGTAATTGGAACTACAAGTGCATGCCACCATGCTCAGCTGATTATTTATTTATTTATTGTAGAGATGAGGTCTTGCTAGGTTGCCCAAGCTGGTTTTGAACCCCTGGGCTGAAGCAATCCCCTTACCTCTGTCTCCCAAAGTGCTGGGATTATAGGCGTGAGCCACTGTGCCCAGCTACATTATGTTTTTAAGACACCCTTTTTGTGCACAAGACTGTTGCAGTGTTTTCATTTTTGTTGTTTGATGCCATTCCACTTTATGAAAAACACCTTCTTTTGCTTATCCATTTTCCACCTGATGAATATTTGTGTTGTTTCAAGTTGTAATTACAAACAATGCTACTAAGAAGGTTGTTGTATGAATGCTGTATGAAACAGTGCTACAAAGAATGTTGTTACACTGTGCATAGTTTTCCCTGGGATATCTAATTTGGACTGGAAATTCCAGGTCCCATAGTATATCACCTTCAACTACATACTTACAAAGTGATTGTATCAATTTACTCTCCCACAAAAGTATCCTGTTTCTGTGAATGTCCTTGTCAATCCTTGGAATTATCAGATTTACACATTTAAAAAATGACGTAAATATGTAATGGTTTCTATGCTTTAATTTGCTGTTCTCTGACTAATAAAGAAGGTGATTATCTTTCCATGTTAAATGGCTACCTGGAATTCCTTTTGTGAAGTAACTGTTCAAGTCTTCATAAATTTTTCTCTTGTTTTTTAATAATTTATTGATTTACAGGAGTTCTCTATATATTTATCTATTTATGAGCTGGAGATATTATTTTCAACTTTATGCCTTCTTTATTCAATCTCTTTAACAGTATCTTTTTTTAAGTTTTGAGTTGGAGTTTCACTCTGTTGCCCAGGCTTGAGTACAATGGCATGCTCACAGCCACCACAGCCTCGACTTGCTGGACTCAGGCGATCCTTCCACCTTAGCTGGAACTACAGGCATGCACCATCACGTCTGGCTAATACTTTAAATTATTTATTGTAGAGCCAAGATCTTGCCAAATTGCCCAGGTTGGTCGACTGGGCTTAGGCAATCCTCTCGCCTCCGTCTCCCAAAGTGCTGGGATGACAGGCGTGAGCCACCATGCCCAGTTAACAGTATCTTTATAAAATAGAAGCATCAGAATATTTTTTTTGGGGGGGGTTTCGCTGAAATTGAATTTGTATTCCAAATGACTATAACGTCAGAATATTTTAAAAACAAGTAATACCCTAACACTTTGCTGCTTAAAATTTATCAATGGCTTTCCATTGTACTTGGAAGAAGATGCAAACTCCTGATAAGGTTGAAAAAGCTCCATATGACCTGACCATTAAGCTATTCTTAATGTTTCACTATTTAATTTTTGGGTTTATGTTGTACACTGATGAGACGTTTCTCATAGTACAAGAAATTTTTTCTCATTTTACCTAAAATCAACTTTAACACATTCAGTCTTTACCAGCTCTTTCAAAATGTTTCCTCTAACAGCCATAGAGTCACACGAACTAGCAACAGCGCAGTCGGCGCTGCCTTTAGCAAAACGAGTGCCATCTAGTGGGGAAGTGGAGCCTTCGAGCACACATGTTGAAAATGTTCAGGCAGGTTAAAACAGTGAAAACATATTAAGCACCAGGTGATAGCACACAGAGTACTTATTCCTTACAAAAGTCTTTAAGATAGCTATTCTCTCAACTTTACAGATTAAGAAATGGGGTTCGGGGTAGTTAATTATTTTGTCTAAGGCCACATAGCTCATAAGGTGAGTGTGTGACTCTAAAGACAGCCACAATGCCCACTCAATCTACCTACAATTTACTTACTGGCCTTTTGGGTAGAACATCTCCTGTCAGAAGAAGCGGGATTACCACATTCATTTAAAAACTCAATCACGTCCTGGACTACATGGCGCAATCCCATCTCTTAAAAACATCAATTACGCAGTCCTACAAAACACCCTGCAAACTGCAATAAAACTACATTTAAGATTTCAAAGGTTCCAAAATTGTGTGGTTAGATGTGGATTAATGTCAAGATCATTGCTTCTGTGTGGGGGTCAACAGGTGTTTATTATGCTACAAAAAATGAAACAAATAATAAGAGCCATATGTAGATAAATAATAACAATATATCAGCATTCAATAATTATAATTTTATTATTTCTGGTTTACGTCAAAAGGGATAAAAGAACCACAATGTTGAAAATGTGTGTGAGATTGTTAATGAAAAATATAATTATTTTTATATTTGACAGAATGGTTTAAGAACTGAAAGTACAAAAGAACTGGAAGAATTACTCTACTTTTTAACTTTACTACTGTCTATTTTGGGCAACAGGATCAGTGACACATTCTGTGGGGTTGTTTAGAACCTAATTCTTTGGTCTGGTGAAAGAACAGACTTTTTTTTTTTTTTTTTTTTTGAGTTGGAGTCTCACTCTGTCGCCCAGACTGGAGTGCAGTGGCCGCTCCAGGCCACCGCAACCTCGACCTG